GAGAGAGAGAGAGAGAGAGAGAGACTAGAAATCTACCCGCTCGACAGGTAATCCCGGATAGCGCGGGACCGGCTGAGCAAGTTGTCTGAGCTCGGCGACATGTTGAGGTGTCATTCGCCACCCGAGTGCTCCGGCGAATTCCTTTGCCTGCTCTGCGGTCTTCGCCCCGGGGATCGGCACTACGTTCCCCTGAACGACAAGCCAATTGAGAGCGACTTGCGTGGGAGTCTTGCCGTACTCCTCACCAAGCGTCGTCAATCTGGCAAGCAAAGGAGCGGCCTTCCTAAGGTACTCTGGCGGAAAGGTCGATACTCTGAAGCCTGAGGCCGGCGGTCTGTCCGCCGTGTACTTGCCACTCAGCACCCCGTGAGCTATGGGCGAATAGGCGATGAGCGTGATGCCCAGCTCGTCGCACGCAGCCTTTACTCCCGAGGTCTCTGGTGTTCGGTACAGCAGGTTGTAGTGGACTTGATTAGAGGCCAAGGGAATGCCACGCTTCGCCAGCACAGCATGCGCCTCTCTCATCCTCTTCGCGTTGTAGTTAGACACGCCAACGGCTCTCACCAAACCTGCCTCCACAACGTCAGCGAGGCCATCCCAATAAGCTTCGTTCTGCCACTGTCCTGGCCAATGCAGCTGGTACAGGTCGATTCTCTCGACTCCTAGCCGAGCGAGCGACCCCTTAGCCGCATTCACAACTGCTTGACGACCTAGCCGCCATGGAAAAGGCGAGAATTTGGTAGCGATGAATACCTTCTCCTTCTCCTGCTCCTTCTCCTGCTCCTGGTCCTCCTCTCCTATCTGGTTCTTCTCCTGCTCCTGCTCCTTCTCTCCTATCTGGTTTGCGTTGCCGTACTGCTGAGAACGAGCTTTGGCGCGCTTCCTCTCCCTAATGAACCTTCCAAGAAGACTCTCCGATTCTTCCTGCCCGATCATGGTTCTCCCATAAAGCTCTGCCGTGTCGAAGAACGGGATCCCCGAGTCCATCGCCGCCTCGAAGGCCTGTTTGACTCCCTTGACCTTTTTGTCGTCCCACTGGCCATCATTCCAGAAGAAGCGATCGCCCCAGGCCCAAGAACCGATCCCCAGCTGCGGGACTTCCACGTCGGAGGACCCGAGCCTCACCCGAGTCTCAGAGGCCTCGATCGACACCGAAGCTGCGTCGATCACACAACCCTCTGGCGTCGCCACTGCCGCACACACCAAGTCTCTTTGGTGCCGCCTCACTTTCGTCGGAAGCCAATTAAGGGAAGAGGAGGAGGAGGTGGAGGAGGAGGAGGTGGAGGAGGAGGAGGAGGGGGGGGGAGAATCCCGACAGGAGGAGGTGGAAGAAGCCGTGCCACTTAGCCTTTGGTATGGCGTACTCCTATTCGTGCAGCCAGAAAGGCCCAGCCCCTTCACATTGTGGCCAGCTGACCCATACCCCAAGTCTTCCAGCCTAGAGAGAGAGGACATTCCCATCGTCCCACCAAAGGCAGCCCCTGTCGTCATGGCCCCCGCCATCGCTGCCTTATGTATCGTTTCCTCCTCCTACTGGTGTCAGTGTCGGCGTGCGAAGTGCGGTCCTTCGTTTTTCTTTGCGTGAATGCGTGCCTCTCTGTGAGGTTCTGTGTCCCAATTTGACCGAGCGCATGCGCGACCACCAGGTGGGGAGAGCTTCCAGATCTACCGCCACTAGCAGAGCTCAGCGAGAGAGAGAGAGAGAGAGGGTCTCCTCTCTCTTCCCCTCCCTCGTGTGTAAAGTAGGCACGAGCTTGCCCTGCGTATACATTCTTGAGGAGTGTATCTCCTCTTTCTCCGCCTCTCTCCTGTGTGCGTGCAGAATCCTGCGTAACGGGGACACTCTTGTTGGGAGAATTGCCAGTGAGCTATGAGAGATGGAGGCGGGCACACGAAGAATCCGTGTGACGATCATCGTGCGTTAATGTCAGCCCCTCACCGTTTCGCCCATTTGAGTATATGTTTTTTTCTTCTTTTTCACTTTCAAAGTGGGTAGCGCCTAAACTCGTTGTGTCCATCTCAGCCGTTCTTTCAGATTCGAGCTCGTGACCTATACACTCGTTCAGCCGATGTAGGGATTGAGTCGATCCTGAGAGCTATTGGAGCACCCTTGGAAACATAATTATTATTACATGTGTCTTACTGTGTCTGAGGGCTGGGCTCGAACACGTGATCTGTTTGGTATCAATTACGTGTGTGTACCATTCGGCCACATCCTCGTGTTCTTCTAGACGAGTTGGATCTGGCCACACCACTCTCGAAAAAACTTCCCTCAGGACGATTAGCGTTTTCCGGCGCTCCTACGACAGCAACCACCGTGCGTCGGAATCTTTTTTTTTACACTCAGATCATTTCGATTACGCAGACCGAAGGAGAGGCCCACAAACAACCCGGGCCTCGGTCCTACCACGAAGCGACTGGCGGGCGTCTAGGGACCATCGATTGTGTCAATCCATGGTCCTTAGGCGCCCGTTATTTTCTTGGTGGTAGCCTCCTGCAACCAAAATGCGCAGGTGGGACCGAGCCCCCGGGAAGGTAGCAGAACGAAAATTGTGGGTGTCGGGGTGAAAAATCCATCGACAGAGATGGCCAAAACCAGACCTCTGTCGTATGGGTGGGTCGGAATCTGGCCTCTGCAACAACTTGGGGGAAAAAAGAAATAATCCAGAGTTATTTTTCATCCAGCGGCCTAGCTCATTGGTGCGGCCTAACTCAGTAAGGCAGGCAAGTGGCATTCAGGAGGTCGTGGGTTCAATCCCCACTCATGTACCTTCCTGGGCATGCTTGGCGCCCGCCACCTAAAGATAGACCACATGATCCCACGATGGGCATTGAGCAGAGTCAGCTGATGTTCGTAGGGGAGGGGACCACCACGTGAGGGGAGGCACAGGGATTGGTCCTGTTGGCATGGTCCCTGATGCTACCTACCGGCTGTCCCCTAGCCTGTATCGCCCACCTGCAGGTCGGGAGCAGCCCCCGCATGTTCTCTCGTGAACACGGTTCTGGCTGCTACGGGGTTCCCGTATGCCTACAATTAGGAATAGTGGTAGGTAGGTAGTGTGAGGTGAAATTGAGAGAAGAACATAGCTTTAAAAAATAAAAGAAAAAAGAAAAAGGTTAGGCACGCAAGTGGCATTCAGGAGGTTGTGGGAGCGCCAGAAAATGCTAATCTCCAAGAAAAGAAAGAAAGAAAAAAAAAAAAATGCTAATCGTCCTGAGGAAAGTTTTTTCGAGAGTGGTGTGGCCAGAGCCAACTCGCCTAGAAGTACAAGAGGAGCAAGCTAAGAGAGACTGCGTCCATGTGGCCGAATGGTACACACACGTGATTGTCACCGAACAGATTATGTGTTCGAGCCCAGTCTGTCAGACACATGTAATAACAATTATGGGTGGGTTTAATCTCCATGGCCGCCTGTGGCACTCTTGGTGCCAACCGATGATTGAGATAGTCAGCCGGATCCTCCTACCATCTTCCCCTGAACATAATGCACCCTGAAATTGAACGTATGCAAGCTGTATTTCCAGTCCGGTACAGCCTAGACGCGGGTGCGTAAAGAACCCTGAAATTGAACGTATGCAAGCTATATTTTTCCGGTCCGGTACAGCCAAGATGAGGGTGCGTAACGAACCCTGAAATTGAACGTATGCAAGCTATATTTTTCCGGTCCGGTACAGCCAAGATGAGGGTGCGTTGTGTTCGGGGGAAGACGCTAGTAAGTACGAGTAAGGTCTTCAGCCAACACAGGTGTGAGTGCGCTTGAGTTCAAGTTTGTTGCATGTGGTGTGTGGGAGAGTGTTGGCTTTAGACACTACTGTTTTTTCTTTGCCCTTTGAAGAAGAAAAAAAAGGCAACAGCCTTGAGGTATCGTCATTCATTGAGCTGACCGGCCCCAGGTAATTCAGAATGATTTTATATCATTCATCTGATTGCAGCTGGATTTGAACCTGGGTCTGTACTTCAACAGTTCATTGGGTGTACCGACTGAGATAGGTCTGTTGGTATTTTTATTTAGCCGGGGGCCCAACGGTGGCTCCAACCCTGCACCCTAAACGCTAGGGCAAACAGGCAAACATGCCGTTACCTCTCTCCACCGAGAGAGGTCACCGAAGGGAGGTAGAAAGCTATGCTTGCAGCGGTTCCTGTATAGCCTTAGGAGTAGCGGTAGGTAGGTAGTGAAAAAAAGATATGCTCCATGACATGACAGAATACCAGTTAAAAATGTGTGAGGTGAGAGAAAAATATATGGCTGTGCCCCGTTGTGGAGAAAACTATCGAAGAAAAAAAAGGGTTCTTTTTCTTGTTTTTTGTTTGTTTGTTTTTTGGGAAAACTATTGAAATACCCCTACAAGTTGGGGTAGTTCGTTGGATACCTCGATACCTCACAAGACAGGGGTACGACCAAATGCCCCAAACTGCTTTTGTCTCTGTCAGTGTCATGGCCAACGCCGTCATATGCCCTTGGCCGTGGACCACAGAGGCCGATGCACTACTCTTGCCCTCTGCCCCTCTACCAGGCAGGAATCTTTTCTGCCTGCCCCACATCCAACTTGGCACAGTCAGTGATAATAGGGGAGGGTGGGGAAAGAGAGAGAGAAAAGCAGACACAGACTGATAACAAATGTACACAAGCCATCTTTCTGGTCCAGTGCAGCCATAATAAGGGTGCATTGGGGAAAGTCGACCTCTCTCTCTCTCTCTCTCTCTCTCTCTCTCTCTCTCTCTCTCTCTCTCTCTCTCTCTCTCTCTCTCTCTACCTACCTACCTACCTACCTAATACCAGTCGTTTCCTCCAAACATATCATACCCTGATAACAAATGTATGCAAGCAATCTTTCTGGTCTGGTAAATCCATACTGACAGTGTGTTGTGCTTGGGAGAAGCCCCCCCCCCCCCCCCCTCTCTCTCTCTCTCTCTCTCTCTCTCTCTCTCTCTCTCTCTCTCTCTCTCTCTCTCTCTCTCTCTCTCTGTATGCATTTATTCCCCCCCCCCTCCCTCGCTCCAACCATTATTGTCTTCCCCTAAACACAAAGCAACCATACTATGGCTGTACTGGACCGGAAAGATCACTTGTATACATTTGTTACCAAGGAAAGTTGCAGAGATGGAGGTGTGCAAACAGAGATGGAAAATCTGAGAAAGGTGTAGACTTGGAAATGGAGGATTATGACCTACGACCTCATGCTTGGTGTTGCTTTCCTTACAGAGTGGGACTAAAATGTGAAAGGGTCAAGAAAGTGCAAAAATGGGGTATGCCAAGGATTTTTGGAAGAAAGGGGATAGGGTTCCAGGCCGGAACTAGAATATCCGATTTCTGGTTCTGCGAGAATATAACAAGCACAATTGACTAAGGCAATGCCAGTGGAACCTCCGTGCACATATTCATACCACGTCGTGAAAAGGAACGGTTTCCCGAGTTAAAAAATTAAAACAGTTATGTCGTGTTCGATGATATCCCTGCCTAGGTGGGAAGGTAGTTGGTGCATAAGTGGGATCCCTATTTAGTGGAAGAGCCCAGCGACGTTTCTCGGAGAGTTTGGAATCAGAATTGGATGAGCGCAAACTCGCTTCACTTTCCATTATTTCCAACTCTCCATGTGGCATGTAGTCAAACCCTCTCGCTCTCAGGTTTTCACTTCGCCGATAGTTTAAGTGCAAAGTGCAAGCCTTAGGCCAATAGAGCTCAACCGCCGACCATAGGATGACAGTGAGTTTGTTCAAAGGAAGCAAGATAAAAAATGAGGGAAAGACAGTGTATACCATCACAAATCCCAAATGAACAAAAGCAGTCGAAGAGGGAAATTATGCCTAGGGACAAACTAACAATCGTATAAGCTTGGGTATATTTGCTTGGCAGTGAGAATTCAAAATAATACCATCATCAAAAATTAAACGTTCATCCACTTACCAAAAAACGACATTTTATTTCATGCATCTTGCAAGTGGAAGAGTATAACGAGATCTCGATATGCATATAGTCATACATTCACCCAGTGAGCAAACTCCACGACCTGATCTCACATACCTTCTCATTAAGACACAAAGAAAAAAATCATGCATGACAGAGGCAACCCACGGGCAATCATACACACACATATTCAAAGAAGTCATGTAAGAGAAGATCAAAGCAACTTTGAGAGTCATAAATCCACCTGATTAGAAGAAACAATGTCCTCGCCATGCATAATCATCACTCAAAAAATCATATATAAACAGCCAGCGGAAGTGAATTATGCTCCTCTCACACATAGCACTGCCACCAACATCCACCATTGCGCCACCATCGCTCGAGCACTGACAGTCTGTTATCATGCACCTAACAACTTCTCATAGTGATCGTTATTTCATCGATCCAACCCCCACGGTAATCTGCTGAAGTTTTGCAAATCGTGCAACAACGTAATGTGATCCCACAACATCGCTATCGACCCGTTAAAATCGATGGACCCACTAAGTACCACCGAGTACCCACTACTTAACCCAAGTTGAAGGATAGCGTAGGATAAAGATAGGGGAACGTACTTGCGATATTTATAATTCCGAAGATGCAAAGGCAATGATTCATGCAAGGGAAAGGAGGTCAGGGAGGGTAGTGAGGTTAAAGAGTTCATAATGATTGGTCGATCCACGATGTGATGAATCAAATCAATCCCCACATAGCGATCTGATATCGACGGCCACTCCGGTTCGCCAAGATCATGTTGAGGTTGGAGCAAAGGTGGAAAATAAAGTTACGAAAGATAGTGTGGGCAATGACGAAAATTCAGTGAAACCAAAAAAAGAAAACAGTAAAGATTGTTGAGAAAGGCAAGAAGAAGGATA